TGCCGCCATCTGCGTCGGCGTCGTCGTCATCGTCGCCGCCGCCGTCGTCGCCGTCGTCGCCGCCGCCGCCGCCGTCGTCGTCGTTATCATCGTCGTGGTCGTCGTCGTCGTCGTCGTCTTCGTCGTCGTCGTCATCGGTGTCATCGTCGCCGTCGCCCCCGCCGTCGTCGTCGTCGTCGTCGTCGCCGCCATCGTCGTCGCCACCGCCGCCGTCGTCGTTGTCGTCGTCGTTGTTGTCGCCGCCATCGTCGTCGTCGGTTCCCTTGTCGCCTCCGCCTCCGCCACCGCTGCCGCCGCCGCCGCCGCCGCCGCCGTCGTCGTCGTCGTCGTCGTCGTCGTCGTCGTCGTCGTCGTCGTCGTCGTCGTCGTCGTCGTGGCCGCCGCCGCGCCGTCTGTGTCGCCGCCTTCTCCGTCTGGAGCTAGGGTCCTCTGGGGTGGGAGCGGCTCCCCCTGTCAGGGCGCGCAGCATCTTCGTGGCGGCGATCGGGCTTCACAAGGACCCCCTTCTCCTCCATCTCGTCCCCCCTTGTCGGCATTCCCTTCTGCCCCCACTTCCTCCTCACCCTCCTCCTCCTCGTCCGCCTCTCTTTCCGCTCCGTTCTCTCTCTCTCTCTCTCTCTCTCCCTCATGTTCCTTCTCGTTCCTTCTTTCTCTCCCTCTTATCCCTGCCCTCCTGCTCCCGCTGCTGTTCCTCCTCCCACTCCTCCTCATGGTCCTCATTCTCTTCATCTATCTGCGGTCACTACCACGCAAACTCTGAACTTTGAGTCATCATGTTCCTCCTACCCCCCCTGGTCCTCCTACTCTTCCTCCCTCCCTTCTTCCCCTGCGAATGCTCGTTCTTCGTGCTCCTCCTTGCTTCCTCCTCCCTGCAATCCTCCCCTCCTTGTCGTCCTCCTCCTGCCCCAGGAGAGGAGGAACGGGACACTGGGGAGGAGTAGGATGAGAACGGGGGACGGGGTGGATAGGGCGGAGGAGGAGGAGCAGGAGGAGGAGGAGGAGCAGGAGGAGAAGGAGGAGGAGGAGGAGGAGGAGGAGGAGGAGGAGGGGGAGGAGAGGGAGGAGTTGTAGGGGGAGGAGGAGGAGGAGGAGGAGGAGGAGGAGGAGGAGGAGGAGGAAGAGGAGGAGGAGGAGGAGGAGCAGGAGGAGGAGGAAGAGGTCCTCCGCTTTTCCCTCCTTCAAGAACCAACGAGTATTTTGTTCCCGGAAAGGGCGGGGGCCCAGGGTTCTCTTCTAGTTGTTTACACCCGGAATCAACGGCTCTAGGGCCGGCGAAACTATTTGCGATACATAACGAGGTCGACTAGGGCCGACGGAATTAGTTTTGAGGATGCCTCGAGCGAAACGCTTGTTTTCGAGAATTTGTTGAGGTTGCTTCGATCGAAACGCTTGTTTTGTGTTATAGATTGGCCTCTCATGGGGACCAGAATTCAGAGGATCTCTCCAGTGAGATGCTTGTTTTCACGTGCCCAGGTCTTGAGGATGTCTCGAGCGAGACGCTTGGTTTCACGCCTCCAGGTTGCCCAGGCAGAGGTATAGCGCTAGGATTAGTTGAGGAAGTCTCGAGCGAGACGCTTGGTTTCACGTGCCCTCGTCGCCCAGGCGGATGTCTAGCATGAGGATGTGTTGAGGAAGTCTCGATCGAGATGCTTGTTTGCACGTGTCCAGGTTGCCCAGGCGGATGCCTAGCATGAGGACAGGATGTGTTGAGAATGTCTCGAGCGATACGCTTGTTTTCACGTGTCCAGGTCGCCCAGGCACTCAACATTGCAACTTGGCACGTTCCCTGGCACGTTGCGTGGCGCGTCCTGTGGCGAGTCCCCCTGGCACGTCGCGCGGCGCGTCCCCTGGCACGTCCTGTGGCACGTCCATTGGCACGTTCCGTAGCGCGCCCCCTTGGCACGTCCCGCGGTGCGTCCCCATGGCATGCCCCCTGGCACGTCGCCTGGCGCGTCCCTTGGGACGTTCCGCGGCGCGTCCTCCTGGCGTGTCCCCCTGTTAATTAGCTCTGGGGCAGCTATCAGGCAGCTCGAGCTTAAGATCCAGATCAGTTCGGTTAGGACTCGGATGCAAAGGAGGATTCGATCCACGACGCTATAGAGCACACTCGCGGCATGGCACATCGCAATTCAGCACGGCGCAGCACAGCACAGCCCTCGGCGCGGTACATCAAGATCGATACACTCAGCATTGCAACTTGGTAGTTCCCTGGCACGTTGCGTGGCGCGTCCTGTGGCGAGTCCCCCTGGCACGTCGCGTGGCGCGTCCCCTGGCACGTCCTGTGGCACGTCCATTGACACGTTCCGTAGCGCGTCCCCCTGGCACGTCCCGCGGTGCGACCCCATGGCACGTCCCCTAGCACGTCGCCTGGCGCGTCCCTTGGGACGTTCCGCGGCGCGTCCCCCTGGCACGTCCCCCTGTCAACTAGCTCTGGGGCAGCTACTATGTATTCAGGCAGCTCGAGCTTCAGATCCAGATCAGTTCGGTTAGGACTCGGATGCAAAGGAGGACTCGATCCACGACGCTATAGAGCACAATCGCGGCATAGCACATCGCAATTCAGCACGGCGCAGCACAGCACAGCCCTCGGCGCGGTACATCAAGATCGATACACTCAGCATTGCAACTTGGCAGTTCCCTGGCACGTTGCGTGGCGCGTCCTGTGGCGAGTCCCCCTGGCACGTCGCGTGGCGCGTCCCCTGGCACGTCCTGTGGCACGTCCATTGGCACGTTCCGTAGCGCGTCCCCCTGGCACGTCCCGCGGTGCGACCCCATGGCACGTCCCCTAGCACGTCGCCTGGCGCGTCCCTTGGGACGTTCCGCGGCGCGTCCCCCTGGCACGTCCCCCTGTCAACTAGCTCTGGGGCAGCTACTATGTATTCAGGCAGCTCGAGCTTCAGATCCAGATCAGTTCGGTTAGGACTCGGATGCAAAGGAGGACTCGATCCACGACGCTATAGAGCACAATCGCGGCATAGCACATCGCAATTCAGCATGGCGCAGAACAGCACAGCCCTCGGCGCGGTACATCAAGATCGACACACTCAGCATTGCAACCTAGCGCGTTCCTTGGCATGTTCTGTGGGGCGTCCGTTGGCGAGTACCCCTGGCACGTCGCGTGGCGCGTCCCCTGGCAGATCCCGTGGCACATCCATTGGCACGTTCCGTAGCGCGTCCCCTTGGCACGTCCCGCGGTGCGACCCCATGGCACGTCCCCTGGCACGTCGCCTGGCGCGTCCCTTGGGACGTTCCGCGGCGCGTCCTCCTGGCATGCCCCCTTGTCAACTAGCTCTGGGGCAGCTACTATGTGTTCAGGCGGCTCGAGCTTACAATCCAGATCAGTTCGGTCAGGATTCGAATGCAAAGGAGGACTCGATCCACGACGCTATAGAGTACAATTGCGGCATGGCACATCGCAATTCAGCACGGTGCAGCACAGCACAGCCCTCGGCAGGGTACATCAAGATCGATACACTCAGCATTGCATTTGCCCGTCACCCAATCAGGTGTCTTTGAAAACGTTGCCACGCGTGACATTTCTATATTCCGTTCCGGGTTCGTGGGTCGATCATGTTATCTTCCAGGTGCTTCCGGGTGATCCTGTTAGGGCTTTCTTGGGGCGTCGTGGGGGCTTCTTGGGCCGTCTTGAGGCCATCACGGGCTGTCCTGGGACCGTTTTGGGCCGTCTTTGAGCTATATTAGGGCCATCTGGGACTCTCTTGGGGCCATCTTGTCCGTCTGGAAGGCGCCTTGTGGTTTTGTTTAAGGCCATCTTGGTTCGCATACATTCTCCACGCTACTTCGGCGCACCCCTCACACGCTTTGTGGCCCCATGGGAAGCCTCACCGAATGCCCACACACCCTGGTTCGCATACCTTCTCCATGTCATTTAGGTGGACTCCTCACGTTTCGTGGGACCATGGGGAACTCCACCGGAGGGTCACAAGTCCTGATTCGCATACCTTCTGCACGCTATTCTGGCGCACCCCACACACCTCTCGTGGTCCCAGAGGGAGCTCTACCTGAGGCGCCAGTGGCTGCTTTCGAATGCTTGATCGGCACTGGCTTGGCGTACCCTTCACACAATTCGTGACAACATAGGGAGCTCCACTGAAGGCTCCAGTGGCTGTGTTCGCATGCTTTCTCCACATCATGTTGGCGCACCCGTCACACGTTTCGTAGCCTCATAGGGAGCTCCACCAAACGCCCCAGTGGCACGACTCGCATGCGTGACCGCGCCCGTTTCGGCACACGCTCACACGTTTCGTGGCCCCGTAGGGAGCTCCACCGAAGGCCCCAGTGGCAGGACTCGCATATATGACCGCGGCCATGTCGACACACTCCTCACATGTTTCGTGGCCCCATACGTAGGGAGCTCCACCTGAGACCCCAAAGCATGTTGCCTCCCAGAGCCGCGCACTCATACGCAGAGATCAGCCGTAATGGGTTACATCCAGATGTAAACCATTACGGCCGACCCCTGCGAGCGCATCAGCAATGTCGATCCGTCCTCCCCGCGCACGCTGTAGTTCTTTTGCTAGCCCCTTCCCTTAGTTTCCACTTGTCTTGTGGCAGCAAACAACTGCGGACCACTGGAGTCGCAGGAAAGCATATGGTTGGGTCCCTTGCCAGGCTACTCTGCCAGCTGCGTGCCGCCCTTCGCTGACAGGCTTCATGCTTCAACGGCGTTGTAATCCAAAGAGCCCCTCCCTCGTCCGCTTCCCCCCCTCCCCCCCCTCCCCCTCCTCCCCACCCCCCCTCTCTCCCTCTCCCCCGCCCCTCGAGGATTTTCTCGCCCCCCTGGGCAAGCCCGTGCAGCACTGCCCCACGACTATCGGGAGGTGATGTTTTCATCTCGGCACGTGCTTTCTCTCGAACAACTTTTGGCGCTCGGGGCCAACAGTCTACGGTACAGCGACAAAACGGATGTACAACGTCGTGCAGATAGCATGCTTACATGGTGGTTCACAGCACTGCCCCAACAGCCCCCCTCTCTGGAGAGGACGGGGCCGTGGGCCCGCGCTCCCTGGACCCCTACGTGAAGGTGGCCAGGGCCTGCCTCATCCCGGCGCGGCTGCCCGCAGATCACCCGCTTGGCTCGGGCCCAGGAGGAGGAGGAGAAGGAGGAGGAGGAGGAGGAGGGGAAGGGTCGGAGGGTCGGGACCCCTCGGGGGGGGGGGGAGGGGGGAGGGGGGAGGGGGGAGGGGGGAGGGGGGAGGAGGGAGGGGGCGGAGGGAGGGGGGGGGAGGGGGGGGAGGGAGGAGGGAGGAGGGAGGAGGGGGGCGGGAGGAGGGAGGAGGGAGGAGGGAGGAGGGTCAGGGGGGGGGGCCCCCCCAGGGTGGAGAGTTTCCCCCCCCCCCCCCCCCCCAGGGTGGAGAGTCGATTCTCTGGGCACACCGTTTTTCCCCGTGTGAACCCACACCAGCCCGCGGTGGGGGCAAGGATCGCACGCCACTGAGGGGAAAGGGGGGGGGACGAAGTCCGACGGTACAAACAACCCAGGGGGGCCCATCAGAGGGGAACTTTTTGTCACCCTGGCAGGAAGGCCCAAGACCTGCCAGGGGCCAGCGACAGGGCCCTCCCTGGGTATCTAACCGCCCAGTTCTTCTTCCTCCAGATCGTTGGAGTGGGGGCAAGGAGGGCGTGCGGGGGGGGGGATGGGGGGGGCGAAGGGATGGAAGGGGGGGGCGAGGGAGAGAGAGCGAGCAGGGGCAGGAGGGGCCTCTCGGACCCCCCCCCCCTAGGACGTCGTCGTCCTCGTCGTCGTCGTCGTCGACGTCGTCGTCGTCGTCGTCGTCGTCGTCGTCGTCATCTTCGTCCTCCTTCTTCTCGTCCTCCTCCTCCTCCTCCTCCTCCTCCTCCTCCTCCTCCTCCCAACCCTTTCGGAACCAAAACCGGAATCGACGAAAGTCGGGAATGCCGGATCGAAACCGGAATCGGCATCCGTGCGCCGGATGGATCGGAATCGAAACCAGAAAAGGCCAGATTCGGCAGGGGCGCATCGAAATCGGATCGGATCGGGTGTCTTGACCGAACCGCTTGTCTTCACGTGTCCAGGTCGCCCAGGAGGGATGTCTAGCATTAGGATATGTTGAGGATGTCTCGAGCGATACGTTGTTTTTTCACGTGTCCAGGTTGCTCAGGCGGACGTCTAAGATGATGATGTACTGGAGATATTGAGCAAAACACTTGTCGCAGTAGAGCGCATTGCAGTCCAACCCCGCCCGTCCGTGGGGCGTCCCCTGGCGCGCTGGCGCGTCCCCTGGCGCGTCTCGTGCGACGTTCTGGCGAGACGTGCTCGGCGTGGCACGTTCCCTGGCTCGTCCTCTGTCGCGTTTCCTGGCTCGTCCCCAGGCGTTTCCCCTGCCCGTTTGGCCGCTGTGGGAGTCCGCAAGGCCCTGGCACGTCCCCTGGCGCGTCCCTTGGGACGTTCCGCGGCGCGTCCCCCTGGTGCGTCCCCCTGTCAATTAGCTCTGGGACAGCTAGTCTGTGCTCAGGCAGCTCGAGCTTACAATCCAGATCAGTTCGGTTAAGGACTTAGATGCAATGCAGGACTCGATCCAAAACGCTATAGAGCACAATCGCTGCATATCACATCGCAATTCAGCACGGCGCAGCACAGCACAGCCCTTGGCACGGTACGTCAAGATCGATACACTCAGTCTTGCAAATTGGCATGTTCCTTGGCTAATTCCGTGGCGCGTCCCATGGTGAGTCCCCCTGGCACGTCGCGCGGCGTGTCCCCTGGCGCGTCCCGTGGCACGTCCATTGGCACGTTCCGTAGCGCGTCCCTTTGGCACGTCCCGCGGAGCGTCCCCATGGCACGTCCCATGGCACGACCCCTGGAGCGTCCCTTGCGACGTTCTGCGGCGCGTCCTCCTGGTGCGTCCCCCTGTCAATTAGCTCTGGGACAGCTACTCTGTGCTCAGGCAGCTCAAGCTTACAATCCAGATCAGTTCGGTTAAGGACTTAGATGCAATGCAGGACTCGATCCACAATGCTATAGAGCACAGTCGCGGCATGGCACATCGCAATTCAGCACGGCGCAGCACAGGATAGCCCCTTGGCACGGTACGTCAAGATCGGTACACTCAGCATTGCAATTGCCCGTCGCCTAATCAGGTGCCTTGAACACGTTTCCATACCTTACGTTTCTAGATTCCTTTTTCGGGTTCGTGGGTCGATCATATTGAGGCGACCCACCCTCAGTGCATAAAATTCTTGCATTTGTTTAAAACGAGTGCGCGACGCTAAGGCGAGAACCACATTTTGAAAACGACTTGCCCTCAATCCGTGAAACTCTTGCAAGTTTTGAACCGAATGTGCGCTGTGCTGAGGCAAGAGCCGCCACATGTTGCACACGACCCGTCCTTCATTTATGGAACTATTTCCATTGTTTAAGAATTATCATCATAAATGGTGAGGAAGTCTCAGGCAATAAGAAGGAATGGAGGAGGAGGGGGACACGAGGAGGAGGAGGAGGAGGACGAGGAGGAGGAGGAGGAGGAGGAGGAGGAGGAGAGGAGGAGAGGATATCAGGTGAGGTGATGCGAGGTGAGGTGAGGTGAAGTGAGGTGAGGCAGCGGCCTGAAGCCAGTTCGGGGGGCCTAGTCAGGCCCCGAATCCGAGGCCTCCATGGCAGAGGCATCCTCAAAATCCTCGGCGTCCGCAGCACGCTCGAGGAGGCACGCACCCTAGGCGGCAACGTCTGGGATCTCATTCTCCTCCAGATTGGGCGCCCTGAGCACGGCGGCTCGGAACCCCAAGCCTTCAAGAGAGCCCACAACCCGCAGCCCAGCTCATCCCCCCGCCGCCTCGTCCTGAACCGCCGTGCAAGGGGTGGCCCTTGAGGGTCGAGCAATGGAAGCCAGTCGCACACGCACGTCTTCGGGCACCCCGCACGTGGCACGTCCTCGCACGTCCACGTCCTAAGGTGAAGGTCCTTCCAGCCTGCATTGTACGAGGGCCAGCGAGCGCCTTCGACTCGGCTGGGAGGGGAATGAGGAGGAGGAGGAGGAGGAGGAGGAGGAGGAGGAGGAGGAGGAGGGGGAGGAGGAGGAGGAGGAGGAGGAGGAGGAGAGGAGGAGGACCACCCGTAGGAGTTGAAGCAGCAGGCGGAGGACGACGAGGAGGAACACCAATAGGAGTCGGAGGAGCAGGAGGAGGAGGATAATGAGGAGGAGGAGGAGGAGGAGGAGGAGGAGGAGGAGGAGGAGGAGGAGGAGGAGCAGGAGGAGGAAGCGGAGGAGGAGGAAGCGGAGGAGGGAGGGATGGAGGGAGGGAGGAGGAAGAGGAAGGGAGCGGACAGGGCAGTGAGGGAGGAGGAGAGGCCCGTGTGGGCCCTGGGCGAGCTCGCCGGGGCCAGCGGGTCTACGTCTTTCTCATCATGGGGGGCGCGACGTTCTGGAACCAGTTCCCCGGCGAGGCGGCCTTGCTGCGGCTCCTCCTCGGCCTCCTCTTCGCCCTCGTCTCGGGCTCCATCCTCCCGTCTCGGCCTCCTCGGCCTCCTCGGCCTCCAGCCTCCCTCTCACCCCCACCTTCCTGCCTCCCTCACCTTCCCCCCTCCCCCCTCCTTCCTGCCTCCTTCACCGTCACCTTCCCTTCCCCCCTCCCCCCTCCTTCCCCCCTCCCCCCTCCTTCACCTTCCCCCCTCCTTCCTGCCTCCCTCACCCCTCCTCTCTCGTCATCCTCTTCATCATCGCTGTCGTAATCCTCTTGCTGCCTGGGTGGCATGCTGCCGTGAATGCCCATATGCATGCACCGTTGTCCTCCTCTTCCTCCGCCTGGCTGCGAGCTCGGTTGGCTTCACTTTCTTTTGTTGGCGGACCATGCGTGCCGTAGTTTCGTAATGGGTCACGGGCTCCTGTTTCTGACGCTCGCTTCTTCTCCTCCTCCCCCCTCCAACCCGGTGGTCTCGCCGCAAGGCATGCATTGTTGCGGCTGTTCTTTTGGGTTGTTCGGATGGTTGCTTATCTGGCTGAAGCTGGCGGGAGGGGTTGCCCTCGGAAATTGGTGGACCCAGTTTTGTCCAGACCCGTCCTGGAGCACGTTCCGACACGAGCTTCGAGACGGATCCAGCCGCAGCGACGAGGAAGCCGAACATACATCAAATACACTTTCGATCATGTCGAGACTCGATCCTCGATCCTCCAACTTGGCATCGCTCGGACGTGTGCATTTTTCCTTCGGCGAGGACCATCGAGGAGCATCCTTGATCATTTGGCGAAAAAGGCCACGCACGAAACCGACAAAAGAACACAGGGAATGGGCGTCCGAGCGATGGACGGCCAAGGTGGCCGCTTCGAAGGGACAATCTAAGGCGCGGCCGCTTCGCCGGCCAGCAGCTGACCCGCTGGCTTCGCCAGGGGCGCTGCTGATGCCGACGCGGCTCCATCGCACCCCGCTCTGGGCGAGGGGGAGGAGGGGGAGGAGGAGGAGGAGGAGGAGGAGGAGGAGGAGGAGGAGGAGGAGGAGGAGGAGGAGGACCAGTGTGAACCCAAGACCCACTGACGATGCTGCAATACACCCTCCCTCCGAAGTTCCCTGTGCACAGTCTCCTATAAGGATTTGTTTTTCACTGCGGGAAGAGCCCCGTTTGAAGAAGTTCGTTTGAAAATCTTCATCCGTGCCACTGTACCATTCCTGGGACTTCAATGCCGCGAATCAACATCATCAGTGCGATCTGACGATCCCAAACCGTGCCAAAACACCAATTCTTGGACGCCAGTACCGCGAATCAACGTGATTGTCGCGCCCTGACAAGCCTAAACCGTGCCAAAACACAGTCGCTGGGACGTCAACCATAGCAATCCTTACATTAAAGAATTCCGCGTTGCTAAGACGAGAGCCAAATTTTGAAAACGGCCCGCCCTCAATCCGTCTGACTCTTGCACACTTTTGAGACGAGCGTGCGCGGCGCCGAGGCGAGAACCACATTTTGAAAAGCACCCGCCCTCCATTCGTGAAACTGTTGTAAATTCTTGAGGCGTCGCCAATCCCCACCAGCCCATCCAAACATCTTGAGCCATGCTGTGCTAGAGACTGCCGGAGGATATCTGAGCCATGCTCAGCTATCTTGGGCCATTTAGATGCTGTCTTGAGGCCTCGTGGAGGTCTACCGGAGGCTACCTTGAGCCATGCTCGACCTCCTGGGACCATCTTGGGGAGAGGAGGAGAGGACGAGGATTTTTTTTTAACATCAACAACTGCCAAGCCGTACTCTCTGGGGGGACGGCGCCTCCCCCCAGAGGAGGGGCAAGGCTGGGTGGCGCCTCAAGCCACTTACGCCACCAGCCCTGCCCCGCCGCTGACGTCACGGCAACTGCGGGGGGACTCACGCCGAACGGCTGCCAGTCCCGCAGTGCCGTGGAAACAGCGGCGACCCCCACGCCCACACCCGCATTGGGGGGAGCGGGGGAAAACCATCTCAGCCTGCTGCGTTCGCTCCACGCTGATGGCAGAGCGAGCACACGGATGGGCCGCAACACGACGCCAAAAGGGCTGGATGCTCCTCGACCCCCGCAAGGGGGACGAGACAAAACTAAAACACATCCCAAGAAAGGGAAAGCGCTCTGAGACCAAAGATTTCGAACAATCCGTTCAAAAGTTGGGGACGGGCAAAGACGAGGGCGCGAGGGCGGGAAACGCCCCTGCTGGCAACTCTTCAGGTCGGCCTACCCCCAGGTTCTTCCTTGGGTGGCGGCCTAGCATGACTTTGTTAAAATTCGTGCGGCCATGGCCGCGCAACTCGTTAGGACATTCCTTGGACAAAGCAGTCTTGACAAACACAGCTTGATGCATAAATCCCCCGCACTTGGGGCAGAAATAAAAATCAGCACCATCTGTGCACGGCAGAATAACAACGCTATGCGAAAGAGAGTCGGCGATGTCCAGATCTGCTCTGGCAACGCCGGTGCACGAACCACCAGGCGGCTTGACACAAGAACGAGAGCCTAGCCTGCAAACAACGCACCTCCACACAGAGTGTTGCCACTGCCACTGATGCTGGACCACGGGCTCCTCGGGACCACGGGTGGTGCGACAAGGAGCGACAAACGGAGCACCCTCCAGGTTCAATCGTGGCCACATTGGGAGCAACTTGGCCGCAAGTCGGCACACAACTTTACTAATCTTGACAGCACGGTTCACTCGCTCCTCTTCTTCGGGCGACGGTTGGGGGTGAGAGCGGGCCCCGCGCTGCGCGGCTTTGTCGGCGAAATCGTTACCGACCCTGCGGATTCTCTCATCATCCGAAATGCCCGACTCGTCCTTGTCCTGGTGGGCTTTAACTTTCACCACAGACTGGACAAACGGGGCATTATTGATATACAGGAACTGGCCAGCATAACGCCTCCTGAACGAAACACGTTCGCTGGGGGGCAGGCGGAAATGATTAACTACCGCAAGGCAGTCAGAAAAAACTTCAGAGTTGGCAACAACATGGAGAGCGGCCATGGCGAGGGCACAATACTCCCCAGCTGGTGCTGTCTGGCTAATCGGGTGGTGCACAGGGCCATGCAGGGCGCACAGGAGGGAGCCCTGGGGGGAGACCATGCAAACCCCCCAGCCCGCCCTTGAAAGTTCTGGGATGGGATGCCAAAAACAACTCCCATCAACATAGATACTACCCTGCAGGTCCCCATTAGCGAGCTCCTCCGAGAAGTCCTCTTCCTCAGTAGCTGGCAGGATGGCCCCACCCCCCGAGCTAAGGGCCCTAGGCCAGAACGATTCGGGATGCTCGAAGATCCCCCGATCGAAAAGGATGCGATCCCCATCCGACAGCGGACCCAGGGCAATCTCAAGGATCTCTGGAGGAATAAGCTCGCTGCGGGTCTCAGAAACAGCTGGGCACACATAAAGCCTGTGATGCACAGAGTCTGGATGAGCACGACATAGTGGGCAGAGCAACTGCTCGACGCTGAGCTGGTAGCCCACCTCAGCGGCTCTGTCGGCTGTCCAGGCTCCACCGCAGCACAGGTTCCTGATCGACCCCTTCTCCAGAGCAGAATATTTCTTCGAACGAAGCTGGCTCTTGCAGATATCGAAGCAGGCCCTATCCCACCCAACGTCCAAACTCCTTCCCACATGCATCTCCAGGTCCCTAACAACCGCCCGCCTGAGGATGTCCTTCAAGAGGGTAGGGCTGACGAAGGTGAGGGAGACTGGTGTGCCGTCATGCATGGCGAGGGTGGCGTAGTTGGGCATGGACCAACCGATGCGCTTGACAGACAGGAAGAGGGCAGAGACCGGGCCAGCGACAGAACGCCATGTCTTGGGCTGCAGCTTTCCCTCGAAAACAGACGACCAACATTTCCTGAGCTCCTTAAAAGTCATACCCCCCAAGTACTGGTGATACTGGGCCGCCCACACCTCCTTCCCCCAACGAACGATAGGAGCGACCATCCCATAGTACGTGGGGTCATCCTCGCAAACCAAAGCAGAGGAGAGGCTACGCCCGCCACAAGACGGTCTGATACATTTACCCGCTTGACGGCGAATGTGGCCAAGCTCAGAGTCGCTGACTCCGTGAATCTCGCAGCCAAAATTTAACCCAGCCAAGGCCCCACTGGTGAAGATCTTCTTAGCAGAACGGCCCAGGACCTGACGCTGTTTGCAGATCCTGTTGACACGCTTGTCGAAGGTGGAGCGGCGCTGCTTGGCTTTCCTACAACGGCCCTTGACCCTCCTAGGCAGACCAGCGGCGTCGTCAGTCCCCAGGTTGACAGCCGAGGAGGTCCCACCAGGGCCAGCCCAGACGCCCAAGAAGGCCAGGAGTTTATCCCCAAGACGCCGCTGACTGCATACGAGGCTCGCCTTGTCGGGGGCGACCTTGCACTTGATATCGGCCTCCACAGCCTTGAACAAGCCCACAGCCCCAACGGTGATGGCCGAATAAACTTCATGGAAACTACCCTGGGCTGACAGGCCCAGGTCGTCAATGTAGAGATCCAGGACGGAAGACGGGTGCAGCTCGACATTCAAAAAGGCTTTCATGTAATAGGCCCTGACAAAACTGGTGGCAATACTGCATCCAGCAATGACACCACGAATCGCCAGGTACGGCCCCTGGATGAAACCACTGATGTTCAGGTACCTGGGGGCCCGATAGGCCGCGATGCAGAGTCTGGAAACAACCTGGGGGAACTCCAACTCATCGCATCTAGTAGCGAGGTCCTCAAGATCCATGGTTTCGTAAAACTTATACATGTCCCAGAGGAGGGTCGCCGAGCACTTGCCAAGCTGCACAGCCCCTTCACTCTTAGTAGTCTGCCGCCAGACCACGTCCGAAGCCGACTTGAAACCATATGCAGCGAACATAGCATGCTGGTTGGCCTCCTCCCACATCATCGCCTCCCTCCTCCTGCATCTCCCCCAAAGTCTGTAGGGCGAGGTGAAGATGCCTATGGGGCGGAGGCCGCCAGACGGCTTGGCCAGCATTGCCAGCATGACTAAACGAAGCTGCTCAGGCAAAACGGCCATCGTCTCCATGATGGCGAAAAGCAACGAGACAACTTGCAGGGCTTTGTCACAAAGAAGCGCGGAATGCCGAAGGTGAAAGCCGTCAACCGACACAGCCGGCCGCCTGGAATAACCCCTGCTCTTCTCCCTCAAGAACTCGGGCGAAACAAGGGGAAGATGTTCAAGGGGTTGGAAGGGCTTGGGGTCCATAAAATCGAACAGCTCGGTTTCGGCCAGCCATAGCTTCTGAAAGCGTTCCCCTTCAGCACGCAGGAGGGAACGAGGATCGGACACAACCTGGCCCGCAGCACTGAGGGTCGTGGAGGGAACCCAAGCCTCTACAGGACGCGTCCAGGCGTGCGCATTGCGGCCGCCGCCCTGGTCAATGTCCCTTAGAAGCCACTCCTTCCACGACCGCTCACCTGCAGCTCGAGCCGCCTTGGCGGTCGAGTCCAGAAGGTCAGCTAACTCGATGGACACGCCGCCTATGGCCTCCAGGGTGACCTTGTCCTGCCTAATGAAGTCCAAGACTCTACGGTGGGCCTCGAAGATAGCACCAGACCCCATATGCTTCTGAATGAACGGCGAGGGGTACTCGAGAACCTTCTTGGCACTCATGATAGGGATCCCACCAGAACATTTGTGATGCAAGGACCTCCAGGAAGTGGTCCAATCCCTGAAACTCTGAGAAAGCCATCTACAAACAAAAAGTTCAGGATGACGAGCTGGCCGCTGGTCACGCCCCAAGACAGGAACCCACCAGGCCTTGGGAATCTCTCCTCGACACCCAGTCTGGGGGAGCTTAACCTGGAGTTGATCAGCAAGCTCGGCTTCGGCAAGGTTGGCCCATCGCCTATACAAGTCGGTGAGCCCGTAGTGAGCATCCAGAGAACCCCGACGGGCGCAAACGAGGACTTCATAAGCCAAGTCCAGCGTAGAATCCCAGTCCTGGGGCTCTGGTCCAGGCCCGACAGGGACTTCCACAGGCAAAGGAGGAGGCTTCCTGAACTGTAAAACTCTAAGATCGGCAAGCCTGGTATGGAAATCGACCCCCGCGGGCGAGCGGGGAGACGTCGGCGCAAACCTGTCGACCCACGTCTCCCTGATACCTTTGGACAGACCACCAGACACCACGAAAAAAACATACACCTTTCCGCCAGCTGAGCTAAGGCAGGTGGACACACCTGCCGTGATCACCTGGCCCTCTAACTGCTGAACGAAATTGGTGTCGTCAAGCAGCGAGGGCTCCATATTGAAATCGCCTCCGATCACGAAACTGCTGAGGCTGCTGCTGGCCATCGAACCGATCTTCGAAAGCAGGGCCAAATTCCTGTCGGACAGACCCTCGCAGCACGACAAGTAGCAGGAGATGCACAGGATGGGAGGAAGATCCCCAACATGAACAACCCCTGCAACAGCACGAGAGTCTTCAACCTCATAACCCCCTGGGGGCCAATGTAGGCCCAGGCCAGCACGAGCTAGAATAGCCACACCTCCTGAGGTACCTAAGTCGGACGAAGCCTTAGCACTCCCGAAGATCGATTTCCAACCGTGATTAAGGGCCCAGCGCTGAGCATCTAAGGTCTGGTGCGCGAGCAAGTGGTGCTCCTGGAGCAACACCACGTGCGCCGCCGTCTGCAAGAGCCAATCCTTAGCAGAACTCCAGGCCGTGCAGTTGCAAGTGACAATCTTCAGGTTGATGGCATCCCCCCCAGGGGCTGGGGGGGCCCTAAACACTTCAAAACTTTCAGGTCGAGAAAACGCACCTGAGGGACCAGGAGCCTGCTGGCCGACAGGGGAAAACGCAAGATTGGGCAGAACACCTGCCCCCTTTTTGCAAAAGTCCCCCTGTTTGCAGACGCCTGGGGTGCTGTTGGCGGAACACAACAGCGAAGCTATATATATATATATATATATATATATATATCGAGAGAACGAATAGATAGGGCCAGGCGATCCTCGAGCTCCGCTCGATTCAAGCTAGCCCAGCGTGGAGGCTGGGAAGAAATGGACAGATGGGCCCCCCTGCCCGCGCTCCCAAAGGAGTCACGCGGGAGGGGGCAACGGGCACTTGGTGGCGCCCAGGGCGGCCTCAGCACGTGCTCGGACGTCGGGAGGTGCCTCACTGGAGTCGCCAGGCGTCTTGACCCCCTCGCCGTCGGGCGGACCCGCCGAGGTGGACCCAGCGCCGCCGCCAGCCACGGCCGCACCGTCCTCGCCCTTCCTCTTCTTGCCAAGACGCTGCACATGCTTGGCCTGCTCCTCGCGGGCAGCCTGGGCCTTCTCCAGCGCCCCTTTGAAGAGGGAGTTGCACGCCTCGCGGAACTGCTCATTGAGCGCTGCCCGCCGAGCTGCCATTTGCTCCTTGTCGTCGTCGGACACCTCGTACTCGCCCTCGTCGAAGAGGAAGATCGAGTCCAGCGAGACCATATCCAGCACATTGCACGAACCCTGCATGAGCTCCGACACGTCCACCTTGGCGCGGCCGAGCGGCACTGCGGGGGTGTGGTCGACCACGTTCCCAGCCAGCTCTCGGACCAGGTCCTTGTAGTTGTCGTCGGCCGCCTGCAAGGACTGCTGAGCAGCTGCCGTCGCAACCTTCTGCTCCTCCACCTGCCTCTCGAGCTTGGTGAGCTTGTCGAGCTCCGTGGACAGCTTGCGCTCCCAGTACTGCACGCTGCTGTGGGCCTTGGCCGCGCGCTGCTGGACGGGGGCGGGCGTGGAGGTGCGGAGCAGCTTGTCGAGCGCGGACTTGTGGCGGGAGGCCGCTTCGCCGTCGCCCGACTTCTCGCACAGGCCGATGAGCGTGCGCAGCTCGGACTCAGACAACTGGGCTGAAGCTGAGCCGCCACCGCCTGGTTGCCCACCAGCGCCACCATGGCCGCCAGGAGCAGGCACCAGCCCAGGCTTGAGGGCAGGCCAGTGGGTCCCCGGCTTCGGCCAGCCCTGCAAGCCTTCACGCATCTCGCCGCAGTGCTTGCAGGCGATCCAACCCTCGAGGTTCTTCTTGCATCCACAAGCATCGCAACGCCAGCGGCGGCCTGACCACGACACTGAGCCTTGGCGGGAAGGGGACCAGTTCCAGGGTCTGTCGTCGCCAGCCTGAGTGTCCCACTGGCCTGGCGATGGCGCAGCCCTGGCCGCCGACGGCCCTGTTCTCCAGGGAGCCTGCGTCGACCACGCCCCACCACCATTGCTGCGAAGCTGCCAAGCATTCTTGGACATGCGAGAAGGAAACCGAAGCCACAAAAGGCTCGCACACACAATGCTGTCCTGAAGTTGGTGTGTGCAATGCCCGATGCTCGGGCACAGAGGAGGAGAGGACGAGGAGGAGGAGGAGGAGGAGGAGGAGGAGGAGGAGGAGGAGGAGGAGGAGGAGGAGGAGGAGGAGATAGAGGAAGAGGACGAGGGTATGGGGTTGGGCGGACAAAAGTCCACCTGCCGACGCTGCGGCTCGCAAGCGGGAGTGGCGACGAGGAGCCCGAGGGCCACACCAGACAGGTGCACCCCAGCGACGGACCTCCCAGGAGGGGAGAACCGTGGCCAAGGCCCCACCACCCCCGCGGGGACGGAGACCCACGGGCAACCGAACGCAGCCCCCAGGGCCGCACCCAGGACCCCGCGGCCCAAACGAAGCAGCACCCAGGCCGCCCCCAGAACGAAGCAGCCCCCAGGCCGCCCCCAGAAAGACGCCAGCGCTTCGAGCCGAGTCCAGCAACCAATCATAGCTACCGCCCACTCAGCCCTTGAACCTCTGGCGCCGCCGCTCACGGCTCGCCCACCTGGCCCAGGGAGAGTTGGGGCCGAAGCTGGAGCGCAGCCACTGGCGGCCCTCCGCAACCTCGGCGGCCGAGGGAAGAGGAGGGGCCAGCTCCTCACCGTCGGCTTGCCATCCAGGCCGCCACAGGTCACGGTCGGCCGTGAGCGGAGCGATGTCGTCGCTCCCGACCTTCACGATGTAATTGGTCGTCGCGGTCCCATCGGACCCCTTCCTCGGTCACGAATGCACCTCGAAGGAGCCCTCAACGACCAGCTCCTCGAACTGCTGCACCTCCTCGGAGCGGGCGTGCAGCGCAACGCCCTCCAGCTCGTCATGTTCAAGCCGCCACTGGGCGTGGCGGCATGCCGCCGCGGCGGCCGCCCTCGCGTGTGCCAGCTGGTTGGCCTCCACCGTGGCCTCCCAGCTCCGCCGCACTCCCGCGCTCGGCACCTCGCCCTGCACGGCCACATCCACCAGGGCCTCGTGCATGGCCATCTCCTGCACGACCACCGCCTGGACCGCGAACTCGTTCCGCGGCATGTTGTCGTCCTGCAGCTTGACCGTCTCCTCGGGAAGGTGGGCCTCCCCAGCAGCATGGTCCAGCTTGTCTTCCAGCTTGATCGTCTCCCTTGGAAGGTCCTCGACGTCTTTGACGTCGACCCTGCTCACGAACTCCAGCATGTCCCTGCTCGCGCTGCCCACCGCGAGCTGCCCCATGTTGGTGTGCAGCACCGTCGGCACCTCCGCCGTCGTCTCGACACGCTCGGAGTCCGCCTTGAGGCCCGCACCGCCAGCGCCGACCCCGTTTTCGAACTCCAGCTTGATCACCATCTCCTCGTCGCTGGGGCCCGCGACGCTCGGCACCTCGGCGGTGCCCTCGATCGCCTCGAAGCCCACGCAGCTCTGCACCGTCGTCACCTCCAGCGTCGGGAAGGTGGGGATGGGAGGAAGCTCGTCGCAGTGCTGCAACCACTTCTCGTCCATGCCCTCGCCGCACTCCTGGATGGTCGGGAGGTCCCCGATGAAGACCTCGACCGCTGGGCCTGGCCCAGCGCCTCCTCCCAAGACCTCGCACTCGCCCTCCGCTGCCCCAGCGAAAAACCCGGCAACCATCGCGTCCGGGACGTTGTACGAGTACACCTCGAGCTCCACATGCCCGCGGCGGGCGATGAGGAGTGGCTGGCCGAAGGCCACCTTCTCCATTGCCACGTCGCCGCCCGCGCTGCTCACAGCCCAGACATGGCTCCCCGCAGACGAACCGCTCTGAAGTGCGCCTGCGGAAGCTCTGCGGGCCACCACCCGCAAGAGCCAGAACGGCTTGAGCCAAAATGGCTTGAGCCAAAATGGCTACGGAGGAAGAGGACGAGGAGGATGAGGAGGAAGAAAAAGAGAGAAGGAAGAGGAGGGGAAAGAAGAGGAGGAGGAGGCGTGCGGCTCGAGGAAGATGAGGAGGAGGAGAAGGAGGAGGGTAAACCCAAGAGTCATGACCGATGTTAGAATCAACCCTCCCTCCAAGCTTTCTTTTCATAGGCCCCTACACCGGTTCATTTCCACTGAGGGAACTGCCTCGTTGGAAAATAAGCGTTGGAAGACCCTGAAGCGTGCCCAAATATTGTTCTCGGGATTCCAACGCCACGGATCAACTTGACCTTTGCGTCTTGACGATCCCGAATCGCGCCAGAACGCCGTTCCTGGGATTCCAGCACCGCGAATCAACGTAACTGTTGCACCCTCATAATCCTGAATCCTCCCAACGTGCCATTCATGGTGCGCTGATCATGGGGATCCGTGAAACTCTGGCACAGTCTTAAAACGAATCTGCGCGGCGCTGAGACGAGTGCCACATTTTGAAGAGGAGCCGCCCACAATCCGTGAAACTCTTGCATAGTTAATTATCGGATGTGCGCGGCGCTAAGGCGAGAGCCACATTTTGAAAACGGGTCGCCCTCAATCCGTGAAGCCCTTGCAAAGTTCAAAAACACATGCGCGCGGCGCTAAGGCTCAAGCCACATTTTGAAAACGACCCGCCCTCCACCTGTGAAGCTGTTGCCAATGTCGAAGCTTCAAGGTCATAAATGGTGAGGAGGCCTCAGGCGAAACGCCTGGCCCGCCCTAAGAACTGGCCTCGGGGTGCGAAAGGGTGAAATTATGCCCAACGCTCCTGCGTTGGGTATTCGTTTTGAATAGAGCATTGCGGTCTCCACCTCCCTCCTCCGGCCACCTCTCCCCTTCTCTCTTGCCTCTCACTTCGCTCCTTCCTGCGTGTCAGCTGTCGGGGCTGCGATCTGCGAAACTGTCGCCACCTTCGAGGGTTGCTGGGGGGTCCAGCGGAGTGACATCGTACGCGGACTCGAGTTCGACCTCACCATTCCTGGGGGGCTGCGATCTGCGAAAGTGTCGCCACTTTCGAGGGCTGCTGGGGGGTCCAGCGGAGCGACGTCTTACGTGGTTTTAAACTAAATCTTGCCATCTCTGGGGTGCTGCGATCTGCGAATCTGTCGCCACTTTCGAGGGTTGCTGGGGGGTCCAGCGAAGTGACGTCGCACGCTGACTCAATGTTGACCTCGCCATCCCTGGTGGGCTGCGATCTGCGAGACTGTCGCCACTTTCGAGGGCTGCTGGGGGAACCAGCGGAGTGACGTCTTACGCAGACTTACACTAGATCTCGCCATCGCTGGGGGGCTTCGATCTGGAGACTGTCGTCACTTTCGAGTGCTGCTGGGGGGTCCAGCGGAGCGACGTCTTACGCGGAAACAATTTGACCTCGCCATCCTTGGGGTGCTGCGATCTGCGAAACCGTCGCCACTTCCAAGGGCTGCTGGGGGGGTCCAGCGGAGCGACGTCTTACGCGGACTCGAGTTCGACCTCGCCATCCCTGAGGCGGATGCGATTTGCGAAACTGTTGCCACTTTCGAGGGTTTCTGGGGCTCCAGCGGGGTGGTGACGTTTGACGCGGCTTCGAACTAGATCTCGCCATCCCTGGGGCGGATGCGATCAGTGAAACTGTCGCCATTTTCGAGGGCGGCTGGGGGGGGGTCCAGCGGAGTGACGTCTTACGCGGGTTCGAATTCGACCTCGCCATCCCTGGGGGGCTGCGGCCTGCGGAATTGTCGCCAGTTTCGAGGGCTGCTGGAGGGTCCAGCGGAGCGACGTCGTACGCAGATTCGGAGTAGATCTCGCCATCTCTGGGGTGCTGCGATCTGCGAAACTGTCGCCACTTGCGAGGGCTGCTGGGGTCCAGCGGAGTGACGTCTTACGCGGACTCAAATGAAACCTCTCCATCTCTGGGGGCCGCGATCTGCGAAACTGTTGCCACTTTCGAGGGCTGCCGGGGGTCCAGCAGAGTGACGTCTTACGCAGACTCAAAGTAGAACTCGCCGTCACTGGGGGGCTGCGGTCTGCGAAATTGTTGCCATTTTCGAGGGCTGCTGGGGGGTCCATCGGAGTGACGTCTTACGCGGACTGAAATGAAACCTCGCCATCTTGGGGGGCTGCGATCTGCGAGACGGTCGCCACTTTCGAGGGCTGCTGAGGGGTCCAGCGAAGTGACGTTTTACGCGGACTCAAATGAAACATCGCCATCCCTGGGGTGCTGCGATTTGCGAAACTGTTGTCACTTTCGAGGGCTGCTAGGGGGTTCCGCGGGGCGCTCGCGGGCCGCCTGCAGACTTGGCGGCGCGCCTTTGAGTGCTTAGCTCCCGCATTGAAAAAGTGCAGGACGGAAGCACGGAAGCTGGCGGGCGAGCTAGGCCTCGCTCGCTGCTTGCATTGGTATCAAGCAGGTGTGATCATTTTGTCGAGCGCCGCGGCGTCATGGCGCGCGCAGTGCTTCACCTTTCGCGCACTGCCGACAAAAACAACACTCTCCGGTCTCCTCCCGTCACTTTCGTCGTCGTCCTTTGCCCCCTGCCACCTTCCTTCTGCTGTTGCCGCGCTGACGGTTCGGCCCCCCGCGCGTCCTTCGCCTGCCCTTCGTTCCCGCCCCCATGCCCTCCTCAATCTTGGGCCTTCTCTCATCGTCCTTCTGTTGTTGTCTTGTGATTCGTGCCACGTGGGCGCACCCTATGTAACCTGCACAACATCTAACGGCGCCTGCACGGTCATTGTGTTGGCAAAGTTGGGCCAAACCTTCTTGTCACTTGATGCAAATGGGTTGGGTACGTCGCATGATAATTTATAAGGAAAATGAATGGAGCAGGAGGAGGGTGGGGGCAGGAAAGGGGGAGGGAGGGGGCGGACGATGACAAGGAGGATAAGAAGTCGGGCTTTGGAGATATGTTGTCGTGAGAGGTTTTTGAAGGACGAGTCAAGCCACCTTAGGGGCTCTATTCGGGGTCCCCGTGTTGGGGCTCTATTCGAGGCCTTCATGGGTTTGGGGCTCGTTTTGGGGGTCTTGGGGCCCTCTTGGGGCTCATTGGAGGGGTCTGGGGTCTGGGAGGCCTTTTGGGCCCATGGCTCAAAAAGAGGGGGGTTTATGAATTCGGGTTCCCCCCCATCGGAAGCTCAAACATGGCGTCTTGGGGTCCGCTTGGGCCGCTCTTGGAGCCCTCTTGGGCGCTCTTGGGGTCTCCTTAGGGCCCCCTTGGGCATCCCTTGGGCCTCTCTTGGGCCGTCTTGGGGCCATCTTGAAGCCCCAAAGGCCAATCGGAAGCGAACAAGCGAGAAGGCAGCAAGCACATCGATTCCTTTAGAGATTTCGGCGCCTCTTAGGCCTCTTCGGGGGGGTCCTCGGAGGGTTCGGCGGGCACTGGAAACCGTCTTGGGGCCGTGTTGAGGCCTCTTGGATGTGCGTCGGAGGCTATCTTGAGTCATCTTGAGGTATCGTGACCCATCTTGGAGACCATTTTTGAGTCGCGGAGGCCCTCTTGGAGCCATCTTGGACCGAGAAGCACCCTCTGACACCTCGCCCCCCCGCATCCAGGCCCAGGGGAGGGGGTAGGGAGGCAGGGTGAACCCCTCCCCCGAGCAGGGGAAGGAGGGTTTTAGCAGAGAGAACACACAAGTGCGTCATACCACTTAGATTTCAAACTTCAGGACATCAGGATCACAAATGGTAAGGAAGTCTCAGGCGAAACGCCCAGCCCGCACTACCGACCCATCTCGGGGCGCGACATGTAGGAGTTCTTTATCCAGATGCCTGCGGCAAGTCCCGCCACCGTGCCTGTGCAATACCGCTGCAGGAAGGAGGCGGAGTGGAAAAAACGCAATTCCGACGAGTGGTCTGATGAGGACGGATCGTGTAGTCGGCTTTCTTGTCGTCTGAACGGTAGGAAGGAGGTCGAGTTCACACCACGTGGTCGGTCAGCGAGTGGTCTGGACTGGGGACGGTCGTGATTCCGACATAGTTTTCGTCCTCGCGGTAGGGAGGAGGAGGAGGAGGAGGAGGAGGAGGAGGAGGAGGAGGAGGAGAATGAGGAGTAGGCGGAGGAGGAGGAGGAGGAGGAGGAGGAGGAGGAGGAGGAGGTTGAGGAGGAGGAGGAGGAGGAGGAGGCGGAGGAGGAGGAGGAGGAGGTTGAGGAGGAGGCGGAGGAGGAGGAGGAGGAAGAGGAGGAGGAGGAGGATGAAGAGCAGGAGGACGAGGAGGAATAGGCGGAGGAGGAAGATGAGGGATAGGAGCAACGGCATCACCAAGGATGCCCTCACCCACATTCACCACCATGATCAAATGGTCACCATCACACATATTCATACCGGTGCACCCACTACCACCTGCACCCACGATACCTATCATCTGCCCGCCAGACGAGCACATCATTGCCCAGCAAGGGATTCAAGATGTTCCATGGCGACAGCGAGCACCGCAACCACTGGCGATGCGACACACCTACCTCCCGACGATCGCAGCACAAGCTATCGTAACACACCGCGGAACAGCACGACGAGGTGAGCACCATGTACACATCTTCAACCGACGCATCATCTTCCCCAACAAGGTTGTAGACCCTACGTTCCAGGACTACATCGCCAGGCCGCGCACGTAGGAGGCCCGCTATGAGAGCTACCCCAACAGCCTACACGAACACACGCCTGGAGCGCCATTCAGGGAGCCGCCGCCCAAGCACATGGTGAGGATACACGAGGCTATTCCCAAGCCCAAACCAACGATTATCAACACGAGTCAGCCTGCTGAACCGACATGTCGACCGACCTCTACCAGTCTAGGAAGTACTGCAGACTACCGCAACATTCACAACTAGTACATCATCTGGTCCAATTACCGCAGATGGACCCCTACTGACTTGGTAGATACATGCATGCCAGCAGTCAGACCGTCGGTACAGACCACTGACCTGCAATACACCTCTCCTCCTTCCCCCTCGCGCCTTTTTGACACGATGGTGGTGTCCCAGCTCTTTCAAGTCTGGGGTTCTACAACGTCCTGGGTCGCAGCCCTAGGGTTGCACGTGTTCTCGCATCTTACACGTTGCCTCTGCCTTCTCTCATCACAGTCTTGCTGCGCACCCTCCTTCCCGTTGTCGCGTTTCTTTCGGAACGCTTGGTGGCCCGCTCTCTCACAGGTTCGGGGTTATCCTAGAAAACTCTGGGTCGCAGCGCCAGGATTGCACATGCATGTCACGGGCCTGGTGTAACTCCGCACGCGCAACGGCTAGACACCTAAAGCCGAGTTTTATTGCACAGCGAGCTGCCGCTAGTGTTCTTACTCAATCCTGATCCTACCGTCTTTTGGCCACACTGGCTTAGTACCTAGTGGCACGCTCCCTCCCCCATGCCGATTTCTGCGCAAGCCAGCATGCATACCCACGTCTGGAAGCAGCCTGTACATCATCTTCCCACTTACAGGCAGCCACCAACGGCGAGCCCCTCAGAGATACCATCATCAATTTCTGTGCTTTTGCGATGGTGGCTGGGAGGCAGTGGGGGGAGATGCGCCCTCTGCAGCTTTGGGGTTATCCAGCGAAACCCTGGGTCGCAGCCCTAAGGTCGCACATGTTTTTCATATCTTTCCTCTCTCGTAGCGCCGATCTGCAGATCACCCTCCTTTCCCCTCGCGGTTCGACACGCATGGTGGCATTCTCCTAATTGCAGGTTCGGCGTTATCCTAAACAAAAACAGGGTCGCAACCCTAAGATTGCACAGCATCTTTCAAAGCCTAGAATACTGCTGTTCATACCTACAGCTGGACTCTCAAGGCTTGCATGTTTGGCGACACTACGCCGCATTGCACATGCAGCCTCGGACACAACTAGGCAGCAGACGTCTGGCGAGAAGACGCCTTTTTTGTTTCAGATCCCACAGGGAATCAACGAGTACACATCGGTGGCTGTATGCTCACAGCCCCACTGTATTGGTAGCACCACCGCAGAGCTGTTTTCCTATCTCGCAGCAGACGGACAGCAACCCCCCCATGTATTGTTTTGCCGAACCAGGCTTTACGTGCGCAGTCTGCCCACGTATGGCGTCCCAGCAGCGCCCAACCACATGTAGGGCTCCTTCACCCCAGGGGCCAGCCTTGACAGGCCAGCCTGCGACACCTATCACAAGTCCGCCTTGCTGACGATTCGGTTCTTGCTGAACCAGAAAACCATCGCACAACAAGCACGAGGGTCCCAGTACCGATGCGGTCAGGGGTGAACCCAAAACACTGCTGGGCGACAGCACTGGAACTGCCATGCCTTGACGTCTTTCGGTGTTGCAAGACAGCTTACGTGACTGCGGAGATTTAGGGTATGATCAATGGTGGTGGAGGAGGAGGACTTACAAGTCTGTATATTCAGGCTTACCAGTGCAGTTGTTCTCACCTCAGCTTACAGGCAAGCATTC